GCATATCTCATCATGGGCCTAAAAAAAAAACATGTTCTTTAGTATCACAAGTATCACAAAAATCTAGGGATGCACCGATACCAGGCCCGATACTGAGCTCCTGTACTCGTACTTGTTAAAATGCCCCAATACCAAACGCTGATACCACACAGCATGTGATAAGTGCCATATTCAGACAAAGAAACTAAGACAACAGACAGCAGAATGGAGTTATTAGAGATTAAAGATGTCTATGAAGTATATGTATGCAATGAATATAAAACATTCAGTATTAATGCCTGTATAGCTGATTTGTGCCAGCTAGTAAGCAAATTACACTGAGTGAATTGAGCGCTCGGCGGCGCAGATGCACGAGCTTGTCGAGTGAATATCCCTTTCTCACAGACATCACTGGAAAGTTTGTAGTTCGGTCGGAGATATCAAAAAGTAGTAAGTAAAATAATGCACACGTTAATTAATGGTAGGGAGGGAGGGAGGGAGAGAGAGAGAGCACGCACTTCTGTTGTGTGATCTTTATTGATGTTCGCTCACTTAGCACGCATCATTTGGATTAAAACTAAATCGTAAATATAAGACAATTTATAGGGGCATTCACTATAAACGTCATTTATTTTTACCCTTAAGCATACACAACTTTCTGGCGAAAGTGAAAGAACAGCCTGTGTGAAATGCACTAGGCTGTACTGTACTTGTCCCTCGTAGGCTACCATAGAGATGAAATGAACAGTGAAATGAACAGTGAAAATTTCATTTATGTAAAGTGAGGATAACAAAATAAACTAAACTGTGATATATTATACCCCAAAATTCTTCATTCAGTGGACTACCAGTAAAATTGATACAAATTTAGGACCAAAGATTATTCAGACCGAGTCTGGGGAAAAATTTAAGTTCAGGTTTGCATGAACCTGTTTGACAGCATGTCCAGGAGACTCCAGGCTGTCATTAAGGCTAAGGGTCACCCGACAAAGTATTGATAGTTGTGTAAATATTGACAGCTGTATGAATAATTTTTGGTTTATTGTAATCCATTACATACCTTTCTATCAAAGTTATCTGACATTATCAAGCTGAATTTGTTCCGACACATTTTAAAGGGGTCATATGATGCGATTTCAATTTTTCCTTTCTCTTTGGAGTGTTACAAGCTCTTGGTGCATTAAGAAGATATGTAAAGTTGCAAAGACTAAAGTCTCAAATCCAAAGAGATATTCTTTATAAAAGTTAAGAGTCAGCCACGCCTACCTAAAATGGCTCGTTCTAACACGCCCCCACATATCTACCTCATTATGTGGGAAGATTTGCATAACGCCGCCCAATGTACACACAAAGAAAGAAGGCGTAACTTTTATTCTCGCTGTGGTATTGTTGCCGCTGCCGCCATGCCGTGGAGACACCGTGTGCTTCGTTGTGAAAGCGAAACTACTTTGTTTGGCCTTCCAAAGGAGACTGAGGACGATATCCGCTTCGTCATGCCTAGAGCTGATCTGTGCTGGTCGCTGAGGGAATACTTCAACTTAGTGCTGAGGATCGCCGGATCGGCTTTCACCGTGGACGAAGCTCGGGGTCATCACATGTGGTTGCTGCTCCTTCGTCGAATCCGCCGGGCGCGCCGTTCTCGACCCTGCCGCCTTTGCTCATTCTAGCCCGGCCTTAGCTCACGCTAAGCCACGGATTTCACTCACGCTAGGCCGCAGTGTTTTTCGTTGTGAAAGCGAAACTACTTTGTTTGGTCTTCCAAAAGAGGACACGACTACAAATCAGTGATTAAGTTGTATTTACAACACTGTTCCAGAACAGTTTAACCCAAATCCAGATGTGTGCAGCACATTTTATGGAGGACTGTTTACTGATCCTGGGAGAGTTGACTACAATGACGGCAGTTCTGACTCACGCAAGTACGTTTTCATTTAAAGGATTTGACACTGATGATTCAAACGCGAGTTTTGAGCAGTGTAGAGTAGCACTTGTTGTTTGTCATTTCTCCGATCACAAATGCAGACAGGGTTTTATGTTTACGCGGCGCGTTGCAACGCAACGCATAAAAAGACAGTATAAGTCATTATAATCAGTAATTATGTCCCCACTGGATGCAACAAATGCCTCGTTTGTAATGGGTTTTAATGTTTTTGTCTCGTCGCTCCGGACACGGCATCAACAGCATGGTGAGGGGCGTAACATTGCCGACACACGCTTGAGGCATTCGGCCAATCACAACGCACTGGATAGCCGGTACATCCCTACAAAAATCCAAAACTAAAAAGATGAAAGCCATGAATGAATAAAGGATTGATTAATGATCCTCACATTACTATTAGAAGAAAGAAAAAAAACAGTTCTGTTTTTTTAATGTTAATAAGAAAGAAAAATATGTCTTACCTTAATGTTTTTAAAATGAAATGGCTCCTTGCAGTATTTACAATTAAGAGTCCTTTCTGGGCATTCCCTCTCATTGTGACGTTCAAGTTCGTTGGCTCTCAGAAGCTCTTTGCATGATGGGCAGGAAAGGATCCTGAAGTCACACTTTCCCTCATGGTTTGCCTTTGAGAGATCAAGAACCATTCAGATGGTGCATGTCATTTTAAAACTGTTTGTAAACGGCAAACAACACTGCCTAATAAAATAAATAAAAGATTAAGATGGTTTGCTGGTCTTCGTTGATCCCCCAGTCTGGTCAAGCTGGTTTGTTAGTGAGTTTAGGGCACTTTTCAGCTGTTTTTTTTTTTTTTTAAAGCATAGAAGGGACACGCAGTACCTCATATTCTTTGATGGTGCCTGTCCAGCTGCATTCCTCATTGATGCAAACAGCTTCAAGAGCTTCAACTTCTCTTTTAGCAGCATTATCAGGAAAAGCCTAAAATAAATTTGCACATAGTGAAAGTGAAATCTTCTTCCAACTTTCATTTGTCCCATTACTGACAGTGCAAAATTGGTTAAGGCCTGTTCACACCAAGAACTATGACTATAAAGATAATCATCATTCACACCAATGGAAGATAACATTCTGTTTATTTTAAGCACACAGAAACAAGCTGTTTCAATAATACTGTTCCTCTGTGGTGTGGATTTTTCTATTCTCATAGAATTACAATGTGTATTAAAACATTTACTGTTATCGTTATAGTTATCATCCTTTTCAGTGTATAAAAACTGGCCGCCTAAAATGCCATTTGCCACCAGCCTTCCGAAGAACTTCAGAGGAAGTCACAGCTTCTGCCACAATTACTGCAGTTACTGTACAAACTGTACTTCAGTTAATGTAAGAATCGAAAAATCGTATTATAGTAAAACTGTGTATCTTTCCTAATTTTTAAAGGAACTTTGTATTAGTCACCACTGTTACAAAAATGTCCAAAATATACAACAAAAACATTCTGGTGGTTTTACCATTTTAGTGGAAACTACAGTGATTATAGTTTATGAATTCTCATTTTATTTGTAGTTACTTATTTATTTTTGGAAGGGTTATCAGCACTAAAAATATTTCAAGGCGATGTTCCTACCATTTCAATTGTACAGTATAACAAAACGAATACTTACACAGCCCTGTTTCAAAATTGATGTTGGTTCTTCAAATATGTCCTCCTTTATACAGGCACCGCATTTCTGTGGTCCAGAGCTGCGATGGAAAAGTACAGGTTTGATACACACAAGCACCACAAAAATTGAAAAAATCGCGGATAAATACAAAAGCACACCACATATAGTAACAGTTGATTTTGACAACAGCTGCAACAGTCTGGCTATTGCAGTTTCCAGCTCGCCCAGCTAAACAAGCAGCCGAACACAACCTGACAGCCTGCATTTATTTATGTTCCCCGACCTGAAGCAACGTTTACTGCTTGTATACCCATAAAATATACCATAAAAATGGCACGGGAGGCTAGGCCTGACAGGTCGTGTTCATCTTTTGTAGTGTCGTGTCGTGTCAGGTGGGCCATCTGGACTGAATGCCGCTTACCTCACTGCTTTATTAAAACAATAAGAACAGAAACGATGTCCGCACTGCGCCTGAAACGGTCTCCTAAGGATTTTCAGACAGATATTGCACAGATGCTTGTCCTCCAGTTTGTTGGCGAGTATTTTCTTGGGGAAGCCAGGTTTGTTGCCTTCTAATGAAGATGGTGGTGAGGGTTCCTGTGCAGCCATTATTCCCGAGCGCGCATGTGACCAGGCTCCGGAGAAGAGACACGGATCTTTCTACACATTTCACTGAGAGAGGTTGTAAACAGACGATTTTGCATGGTGTCACATAAAAGGATTAACTTAATATGCATAGTTAAATACACGCACGGTTTAATGTTTATACAGGCATGACAGCTATGACAAAATAGCATCGTCAGAATAAAGTTTTATAGTAGCATTTACTGTTGTTGGGATCTCTGATTATTTTCATAACAATACATATTGTTACTTTTTAAAATCACATATGCCCTACCATATTATGGTCCAACGAACATTATAAAACCTCCTGCAGTGCTGTGAAACATTGTATCAATTACATTCAGCGTTCTTGCCGTGTGCAGTCACAAGTAAGGTCATAATTTATTATTATTATTATTATTTATAGTGTTCCTTAAAAAGGTGAGTAACGATAGGCGTCGTGTTCTCTCCAGCTGCTCATGGATGGTAGCGTCCACTAGGGGGCGAATGGTGGTGACAAAATATGTGAAGCTAGAACTTTAACGTATTAAAAATTACAAAACAAAAGTCTTCTTTCTTTTATTGACCAATCATACAAATAATACAGTGACGTATAGGATGCATATTTAAGATGAATTAAACAATAAATTAATTCATATTATTATTACTACTGCTACTATTACTGTTGTTTAGAAAAAAAATAAAACCCACAAAGTAAACATCAAGCGTAGACGCATCATATTTTGCAGTAGAGCTCCTTTCCACTGAATTACTGAATAATTGTAATACGTATTTTTGCCGATCATCTTCGTCTTTTATTTTGAAAATATTAATAATAATATCTCCGTCACCATCTGTCAGTGTCGCCGTTTTCACGGAGACCGCCTCTTGTTGATACTGTTGTCACGAAACGAAAGCTGAACTGATAATTGCGGTTGTTGGCACAGATCTACCTCAGGCCAGTAGTAGTTTATTACTTGTTTCTGTGTAGATTTACAGAGTCTAATGACTCGAATCGCATGACCAATACTGTAGCGAGCGTTATACTGTAGCTGACCAGCAATGGACACTCTTTGAGATGGCAGCACATGCATCTAGATTAAACTAATCAGACTTCAAAGCAGCTATTTAAAATACCTTTGTGCCTATTCTGATGTGTTGACTGTTTCTGTATCATTCAATAATTCCTTTAATGCCTAACGTTACTCGTTCTTGGACTGAGAATAAGAACGAAAAGTACTAGCGAATAGTTTTACTTCTCTAGCAAAACAGCAGCTTCAGGTGGTCGTTAACAAGCTTCTGCAATAATAAGGTAAGTGTGTAATGTTAGTATGTTTATTCTAGCAAATAGTTTTTTTTTAAGGAAAAATAGAAATATATGTCATATAGTAATAAAGCCTGTTGTGAAGTCCGTGGAGAACGATGTAACGTTACAATATTTGTTTCACTACGGTGTATTTTTCCCCTTTTACCATCTATATTTTATTAAGGACATTTTATCCAGAAACAGTTTCATGTCCGGTATGTGTTTAATGAGTTTTCTCTTTTTCACACAGACTATGGCCGGGGAAAATACCCAGTTTTGCAGTAATTGGTAAGTAAAATAAATATAAATGAATAAAAATTATGTGGTCATTCACTTACCCTCATGTTTTTCCCAGTACAGAACAAAAGGGGATGTTAGTCACAATGACAGTTTCAGTCACCATTCACATTCATTTAATCTTTTCTCCCCCAAAAAATGAAATTGAACGGTGACTTATTCTGTCATTTTGTCTAACATTATTATGTAGCACGGGAGAAAGAATGTCAAACAGGTTTGGAAAATCTTGAGGGCAGGTACATAGTTTTTATTTTTGGGTGAACTATTCCTTTGGATAAGGAGGGCTGTTTAGTAGTTTCGGTTTAGACAACCCTTTGCTTTCTCTTGTGTGTTACAGTCCCTCCCATCTGTCCGTGTCCTCCCTTCCTGACTATCATGATTTGGCTGACGCACTTTTGTCCAAAGCAACTTGTGTTACACTTTTTACAGTGACAGTTTCTCAGGAATAACCATCACTTAATTGTCTTAGTCAAGGACACAATGGCAATTGTGGGGTTTATTGAACTGATAATGTGTCAACCAACTGACCATGATATGCGCTTTGTCTCTAGCAAGCATGACATTCCAGAAGCCAACTTTACAACACATGAGATCCACTGTCGGCGGAATATTGCTCTTTGTGAGGTGTGCCAGGAGCCTTTTCCTCATGCTGAGCTTGTGCAGCATAAAGAGATGGACCATGCAGAGGTACGATCCGGACGTGATGTATGAGTAATTGTATATTTAAGAATATTCCTAAGGACCTAAGTCAGAGTACTGTAGCCATAAATAAAAAACAAAAAAAAGCTTAAAGTCGACAAATAATTCTATGGGTTGTGAGAATCAGATTAAAATTGTAGATTTCTTTCCCCAGGTTACTGTCCCTAATGTTGATCCAAACCAGTATGACTTTATTCTGCAGAACACACACACTAAATATTCTGAAGAAATGCCATATTTTTATGTCTGTACAATGAAGGTCAGTGGAGTCAAAACAGAAATGATAAAAAAAACAGGATGTTTAGAGATCTTAACACATCTTTTTTGTTTAGAGTGAACTATAAACATCAAGTCACTATCAAATCAAAATGGTCCCTTGTAATCTTTAATCAAAAACATTAACTTAACCTCCCTATTGCAATGATATCTCTTCTCACAACCTGTCATTCATAGATCACAGCGATTAGCAAGCAACAGTGATCCAATTCATTCCAGATAAAAACAAATCCAGCCCTACTTTTTTTCCTCATTGGAGAAGAATTTTAACTCCGATATATGTAGCAATATCACAATTTTCCCTTCGTGCTGACTTTAAGACAGTAGGATATATTGAACATCAGCACTGTTTTAAATAGCATTCATTTAAACATAGCATCAGTGTAATGTATATTGCAGAATGAAACCGAAACAGAGTTGTTGTTGTTCTCCCCAGGCTGCTAAATTTGGGTTTTATAAAATCTATTCTAAACCTCTTTTTACAGGAACAGTGCAAATGTGGATTAAAGATAGAGAAGAGGTTCATGGAGGTCCACCAGGTACAATATAAACATTTATGCATATTGCTGTATTCGGTGATGAGTTCTGTATATTTGATGACTTCTTACCCCTTTCAGAGGTCAGAGTGCAGTCATCGACTGGTCCCGTGTCAGTTCTGTGATCTGGAGGTGGCCTCCTTTCAGGCTAAAGAGCACGAGGATTACTGTGGGACCCGCACCGAGCCCTGCCCCATCTGCAAGTGTAACGTTATGCTGAGAGAACAACACATCCATCCAGCCCTGTGCGGAAGTCTGACTCCACCTCAGGAGAGGCACAGTAGTAGGGCCCAGACCCCAGGAGCATGGTTTGAGGCACATTCAATCTATAACCTTATACACAATAATAACAGCACGGGGGCAGCAGACCGTAGGGGTCCGCCACGACCCTTGGAGGACAGACTACACAACAGCACCAGAGGAACAGTGAGGGGAGGAACCAGGAGAAATGCAGAAACAAGGAACAATGATTTTGCTTATTGTATGTATCCATCTGGCTGTTTTAGTCCTTATTCAGAAAAAATATTCACAATAAACTAGGGATGGATGATATAGCCTTGACAGATATGTGCAAATATTAGACATTTTTAAAAATGTATCCAGTCTGTAGATATTGGATATTCAATTGTGAATTTTCCCTGCAAATGAGGCACAGACACAAATCTGAAGTGGCAATTAGGCGTCTTTATACAGACTGTTTAATGGTGCTTAAAGGTGGCATAAATACATTTACACAGCAATTAAAAGTAAATTACTAAAATTATACTAGGGGCTGAGGTGGGTCAGAGCAACATTTAATCTGGCTTTTATGCTGCATTGCATCTTCACACAATATCGAACAGACACAAAGCAGATGTCTAAAGATGCTTTTAGATTACTATTGTTGTCGTCATCTAACACTTCAAGTTAATCTTTTAAAACTACGAATAATTTAATAACACTGTTAAATGTGATATTTAGCAAATCTCAAAATGTATTTACATTTTTAGTACTCTAAACCCCCGGTTTCACAGACAAGCCTTAAAGGGGTCATATGATGTGATTAAAAATTTTTCTTTCTCTTTGGAGTGTTACAAGCTCTTGGTGCATAAAGAAGATCTGTAAAGTTGCAAAGACTAAAGTCTCAAATCCAAAGAGATATTCTTTATAAAAGTTAAGAGTTAACCACGCCTACCTAAAACGGCTCGTTCTAACACGCCCCCACATATCTACGTCACGATGTGGGAAGATTTGCATAACGCCGCCCAAATGTTCACGCAAAGAAAGAAGGCGTAACTTTTATTCTCGCTGTAGTATTGTTGCTGTTGCCATGTCGTGAAGCTACTTTGTTTGGCCTTCCAAAAGAGGACGATATCCGCTTCTGGAGGACTTGTGGATCACCGGATCGGCTTTCACCGTGGACGAAGCAGAGTTCAGATGTGTGCAGCACATTTTATGGAGGACTGTTTCCTGATCCCCTAGTCCCAGACTAAAAGTCTGAGCTGTTTCAACTGAAAGAAACGTGCACTGATTGATCTTAAAACATGTCAGTAACTTTGTTTTGTCTCAAGATGCACACCAGTAATGTTTTTTTTCTAAGGCACGTTTATATGTCCTAATTGAACTATGACCTAATCCTGGCTTAGTTTAAGCCATTTCTGTGAAACCAGGCCTAAAATAAAACAATATTAAAGCCTAAAATAATGTTTCTATGTCTAATTTTACTTGTAGCATTTAAAATCATTTTTAATGATGGTTTTAACTTTGTGTTTATTTTTTTTTTAATTTAGACAAAATATGTTTGTCCACTTACTTTGGATAAAACCATCTGAGAACTGTATAAATGTGAAATGTAATGTAATAAAAATTGCGTAGAATTTAAATATTGGCCATAACATTGAATTAATTGGCTTATTGTATGAGTTAGAGTTGTAATATCAGTTCATCCCAACAATGGGTTTTAAACATGTTGTTGAATACGATGGGAGCTTTCGTCGGGTATTAACAGGATGCTGGAGGAAAAAACTAACCTTCCACTCTGCTCATTTCCTCAGTGCTGGATCAGGAAACAGAGCTGGGCAACAACAACAACAGCGTGCTGTGGTCTCTGGGACAGCTGCCAGACTATGAGTCTTCCAGTCTGGACTACATGCTGGCCCTCAGCCTGCAGAGTGAAGGTGACTTGGAGGACCCCCGTCAGGAGGGCGTGTGGACTGATGTGTGGGACCGTCGCCTGGGAAGGACACCAGCCCCGAGCAATCTCACGTCCCAGCTCACCTCCAGCACTAACAACATCTGCACTGCGGCCTCCCCTAAAACCAACCTGACAGTGGGCCACAGCCCCTCCTCAAACATCATGCTGCCTTGTGAGTTCTGTGAAGAGCTCTTTCCAGAGGAAGACCTTATCTTACATCAGGTAAGTGATGACGCCTCAATCATCCCATCACGCTACACTCCCTCTTGGCTTGATATTTAAGCCAGGCCTCTTGTGTCTTGATAGAGCTGGCAAGTTTGAAGTTGCATCAGCCACAGTGGTACTTAAAGCCTCTAGAGTCGCCTCTTTTGAGCGCCATTACATGTTCTACGTTATTACATTCTACGTTAACGGAGTACAACATAAGCCATGATTTTCATGGCAGGCTATTGTAATGTCAGCAATGATGTTGAATCTCCCACTTCATTTCTTCTTGTCAGATATCTATTGTTTCACAATGTGGTGTTTAGTTTCCATGGGAACCTCCTCGAATTTCAGCCCTCTAGCTTCTCCCACAGGCCGAATCCTGATCAGATTCTTCTCCTCTTTCTGAGGCCATAGAGCCTCCTTTATGCAGGCCATAGAGCCTGGTTTGCTATCTGAGTCGCTTGTTTTGGATTTTTGCCTTTAGTGGCCAGCATGAAGTAAATATTCGGTTTTTGTCTTCTAGACTGGCTGCAGCCCGGCCTCTGCTATCGCTTCCTTCAGTAAACAAGCTCCTTCTCTTCAATATGAAGAAATCATCAGTCAAGGGGCTAGTCATGTCATTCCTCCCCACACACCCAGTCCACCCACCCTGCCCCTCTCTGTTTCGCCGCTCTCCTACAGTTCCTCATCCAGCCCCGTTGAGGGCGACGTGCTCATTCCTTGTGAGTTTTGTGGTGTTGCCTTGGAAGAGGATGTACTCTTTCACCATCAGGTATAACACCCTGTGATTTTTGAAGTTTTACTTTAGGTTTTTTTTTTTGTTTTTTTTTAAGAATCTGCTACTTTTTGTTTAATATATTTGTAATATTATTGACCACAAATGCTCTAATTGTGAATGTCACCCCGAAATGTTTTTGGAAAATGTTTATAAATAAAATGCTACATCTCCACAAAATAGGCACTCGTTACAATTCATATTAAATATGTCTCAAAACATTTTGAGAAAACATCTTTACATGGTTTTGTAAAGAGAGAAGCTTCATAAATGTTATGATGGATATCTACAAAAGAATACTATTTTATATTATTTATTATGATTTTGACTGTCATAGCTCATGTAGTATTAAAGGGATAGTTCATCCAAAAATGAAAATTATGTCATTAATTACTCACCCTCATGTCGTTCCAAACCCGTAAGACCTTTGCTCATCTTCGGAACACAAATTAAGGTATTTTTGATGAAGTCCGAGAGCTTTCTGAACGCAACTGAGACGTTCAAGGCCCAGAAAGGTAGTAAGGACATTGTTAAAATACTCTCCATGTGACATCAGTGGTTCAACCTTAATTTTATGAAGCTACGAGAATACTTTTTGTGCGCAAAGAAAACAAAAATAACGACTTTATTCAGCAATTTCTTCTCTTCAGTGTCAGACTTTGATGCACGTTCACAAGAGTACCACAACACATGACAATTAACGACAGAGTTTTCCTTTTTGGCTGAACTATCCCTTTAAGAAAACCTTCTAGATTTAAGTAATTTATAAAACATTTTTATAAAAAAGTAATTTATAAAAATGTGTAAATTTGGCTTGTAATTTTCCTTTGTGTTTACATCTAATTAGTTTTTTATAAATCATGATACATGATTTTGTTTCTGTTAGTATGTGTAAGCACTTGTGAAAGTAGAGCAGAAATGGAGAGCGCACCTTTTAGTTGATACTCTTCAATCTCATTATACTGTACAGGACAAGTGTGACCTCCGCCCCAAGACAGCTTATTCAATCGACGGATTGTCTCCACGGAAACCACACCACACCGCCAAAGAGGCCCACGAGGGGAGATCTCCTGAGAGGCAGAGACATCAAGGTGAGCCACCAAAACCGACGAACACAATCTCATTGTGTAATCCATTTATTAATTTTACTTCTTATTTACAAAATATCTTTCTGCAGCTGACCCAGATGAGGAGCAGATGCGGGAGACGGCTCAGGGGTGGCAGAAAGGCACCTCAGGTTTGGACCAGTGGCTGCCCTCAGCCTACAGTTACACTAAGAACACGAATGCTGAGCAGCAGGTGAAGAGCAGGAACCAAAGTCACAGAGCAGTAGAAGTGAACACATACCTCATTGACAGCCTCATGCCCCGTTCTACAACCACTTCGGGGTATGCTTAAATATTTTTGGTAACACTTTCAGTGAAGCCCATATTTATAATACATTATAAGGTTATTCTTAAGGCATTATAATGAATGCATAGTGCAGAACAAAAAAAGTATATTATGTTATATAATCTTATGAATATTCATAAGAACAGTTTTTATGTATTATAATATTTACTTATTTGTGTTTATAGCTTTTAAGAGTATGATGATTTAGAACACAGTGAACATGTTGCATCCACTTAAGTTTCAATGGATTATATTTCTCATAGTTATAATGTATTATAAGTCTCATATCTTGCCATCTTTCTTATGCTACTTTACTTAAAGCAATCAAAGTCCACTTATAAGTATAGTAATAATAATTATTATTTTCTCAAACAGCCATAAGATCAGATACCAGATACGATGAATGTGTAATTTGACACATTTGCTTTGAACTATTTTTATTGTAATAACAGTTTGATTATTTTGATGGTACCTTTTAGAGAGCTGTTGATAAGTAACTCTGCAACTACATGTCAACTAGCAGTCATTGGAGTGTTGCTAGTATGTCTGCTAAATATATGCTAACACTTTATTTTGATGGTTCTTCAACAGACAAACTGACTATAAGTAACTTTGCAAGTACGTCAACATTCTACCAACCTTAACCTAAGCCTACTAATACTCTAATGAGAGTTAGTTGACATGTAATTGCAAAGTTGCCTATAGTCAGTAGACTAAGGGGACCATCAAAATAAAATGTAACCTAACATATAAACATTGCATGTTTTTTTTTTTCAGTTGAAATTATTAACTAGCTCACATCCAAATTAATATTAGCCTCACAGGGAACATTCAAATAACACTCAACACCTACCCACTCACAAGATGTAGTAAGATACTCTGCAGATCTTAAATAAACAATGTCAAGATTATATAGTCCATTATAAATGTAAAAGTAGATTTAATATGGTGTTCATTGTGTGTTTATAAATAATCAATCTTAAAAGTTATAACCACAAATGCGTAAGCATTATAATGTATTATAATTGCTGTTATGATTATTTATAAGATGATATAACATATTATAAGGTTCTTTATAATGCATTGTGGATTCATTATAATGCCTTAAGAATACCCTTATAATGTATTATAAATATGGGCGTAATAGAAAATGTTACCATATTTTTCATAAATAATTTCTATGTATACATAGGTATGATGATGAGAAAATTCAGGTTACATTAAAACTAAAATGTGTATATTTTTCCATGACAGACCTCCACACAGAGGAAGATTGGAAGGTCAAAGGAGTGATAAAAACACAGAGACTCCAAAGGTATGTACGTGAATTGTTACAGGATCATAAATACGATTTGGAAGACCTGCAATGCAGGATATATTAGAGATGCAGCGATTAACCGGTTTCGCGATTAACCGCGCTTTAAAACGTCACGGTTAATTAATCGTAAAGGTTCCGCTAAACCGAGTGTTTCTGTTACATGGAACGGAACTGTTGCAGCTTGCGCAGAACAAAAACAAAGTTACACTAGCGGTGCACCAGCTTAAAATGAGGTGCTTATCAGAGGCACGGAGGCTACTACATGCATTAGATGAACTGTGACAGAGGGACCAAACAGCGAAGCTTTATTTCCACCAGAGAAATGCCTGTCGATAGTGTGGGACCATTTTGGGTAGGCTACAACAAGAATGACCAAGGTGTCATTTAAATATTGCTGCAAAAAACTGCTGCTAAAGAGCGAATACATAAGGGATAGGCTAATGCACGGCTAGCTGTACATTGAACGATTTTAATGCACGAGGTGAAGGCAAGAACCACCTGACGCGAAGCTACAGCTAGTTTCAGATCAGAAAACGATCCGTAAGATCACATTTATTCAAATTAATTATAACATTTAGCTACTTGAATTCATTATTAGAGAGAGAGAGAGAGAGGGGTGACAGTTGCCTGTGTGAATTAGCCTAACTGCGTCTCTCCAGTAGGCGATTTAATCTATTTTATTAATAAAAGTCACGGGGCAGCATTTTCAAGAAGTTTGTGTCCTCCTGAATCTTTGTACACGTGCACAGCGCGATCTCCGATCTCACAAACCAAAATAAACTGTCATGGATGTTTACAGAGCAGAGGTCACCTTTTTTTAATTCCAATGGGAGAGATGGACTTTGGTTTGTCTTTTGTTTATTATTCATTTGTGCTGTATTGTTGGTTACGGTGTTATTTCGGTTTCAAAAGCCAGCAATAAATAACACTTTAATATCTAAAGAGTGTTCATGTGATTTTATACATTAGTAATGTTGGGAAATGAATAAATGCATAATAATCGTCATAATCGTAAAACCGTGATTATTCCTCAGACAATAATCGTACCAACAAAATCTATAATCATTGCATCCCTAGATGATATGACATATTTTGATTCTACAAATACTTTTTGACCTGTTCAAACATTACATTACATTAATTACATTTTTATCTCCAGGTGCCTAAAAAACATAATGTTGAAAAAGAGGAGGAGGAGTAGAAAAGGGGAAAGAGTCTAACCAATCTTTGAGTCAAAGCAGTGACCTGTTATTACTGTCTATATGCTATTATGTTTGTGTCTGTAAATCTTTTACATGTCCAGCTGAATTGATCAATTATTTGGCTTGTAAATGTATTTCTTTAATTGCACTAGTTTTTTTCTTCATTGTATTTTTTCTATGGTGTTTGTATGTGATTTTAAATGTTTGTTTTGAGCTTTGTTCAATTTTCTTTGTTTCAAAGACGTTGGAACAATGTTTTATATTTTACTGCAAACTCTACATGTTATAGTATAAATATAGAAACTCCCATAAAACTTTACTGTATTGTTTTATACATTGGTTAATGCAGTGGTTAACATGAACAGCTGAACAATGCTGCATTTATTAATCCTGGTTAATATTATTTTTTACATATACATTTTAACATTAATATTATTAGTTCATAATGCATTGTGAACTAATAATGCACTAATGACCAATATTAGATTTATGGATTTTAATTAACAATGATTAATAAATGCTGTAAAAAAATATATACTGAGTGCATTCACTAATGTTACAGACGTGTAGTGTGAAGTGATGCAGAAATTACAAATTCTTATTTGATCCTGAGTTTGAAATAATTTTACAATGTACCGGTAAAACATCAAAATTAAAGAAAAAAAAATTATTGTAAGGCTGTCTGTATATGGTGGTAAAATTGGTTATGTTGTTATTCTGATTGTTTATCTTCCTTTGGTTATGTAACTATCACATCTTTTCAATAAAAATATTTTGCTGTGGCTGAACGTAGGATGGCCATCACATTGGGTTGTTTTTTGTTTCTAGTCTACAAAGTGATAACTGAGCATTTTTAACTATCAGAAGATCAATATGGACTCATCTTTATCATTTTTTCGACATGCACTCTGTACTCTTCTTGCACAAGAAAGCAGTACAGGGGTTATGAGAACAAAGGACCTATATAAGATACATATATAAGAACCGTGTTTTGTTTGATACCAAATGTTCATTTCAAGAAATCGACCAGAGGACAGGGGTGGACATCGATGTCGGCAGTGCTCTATATGCAAGCAACAAATTAAAGCTCCTTCCTGAGTTCTTGAAGGAGATAAAGGAGTTTTACCACTCTGACGGCTTCACTGTGGATTTCAGCGTCAAAGAAACACTGGATAAAATTAACACGTATGTGAAGGAAAAAACACGGGGGGAAAATAGACCAAGCTGTTGATGGTCTGGAATCTGACACTTTGATGTTTCTTCTCACTTACATATATTTTAAAGATAAACACACACCTATACAATAGTCACAGACTTTTGTAATTCTGGCAATGCCATCGTCTCAGATCCCTTTAAAAATGTCACTCTTTCTTCCAAAGGAAAATGGGACATGCCATTTAACCCAAGCAGGACCCGTCAAAGTAGATTTCATGTGGACGCTGAGACCACTGTTCCAGTACAAATGATGCACCAGTACGAATCCCTCAAAGTTTATTATGATGTCGAACTCACTTCTAAAGTCCTCTGTCTAGACTACAACAACTCTTTCTCCATGTTTCTGGCTGTACCAGATATTCACTGGCCAGTTAAGACCATCAAAGATCTGGAGATGGCCATCTCTAGACAGCACATTGAAAAGTGGAGGACAGCTGTCAGAAGAAGGTTGGTTGTCATAATTATTTAATGTATATCAAAAATAAAGTTATCCGGACTCATAAAAGCATAGATGTTCAATATCTCCATATGGGCCAGTCAATGATTTATTTTGTCCTTCAGAAACACTGACATCTATGTCCCCAAGCTCTCTCTGAAAACATCATATTCCCTGAAAGATATTTTGAAAGGAATGGGAATGGCTGATATGTTTACAGATAAAGCCGACTTCACAGGAATTTCAGAGGAAAAGATGCTCATTTCAAAGGTACAATTTCTAGATCACTTTCTAAAATACTATTTTAAATTAACTGAAGAGTTTTAATGTACTATTTCAAAAAAACATCAATTTTTAAGAGGACTCACTCTGATTCACTTTCAGGCTTTGCATAAGGCCAGTCTGGATCTAGATGAGAAAGGAACCACCGCAGCAGCAGTGACAACGGTTGATTTCAGACTATTGTCCTACAGCCCATTGGATACTTTGAGTTTTGACCGTCCATTCATGATCTTTATCACTGACCAAAAAAATGACAACATCCTCTTCTTTGGAAAAGTTGTCAATCCGGAGGAAAAACAGTATTGTGACATTCAAGATGTCATGACAACATTAGCCAGCATGTGTCCATGATTTAAACAACTGTTGTGCCATTATATTTCTATTAATATAGGACCGAGATACTCGATTCTTCTTCTAGAGGTCTTCAACCCTGGTCTTGGAGACCTAGTATTTCTGTTTCCTCTGGTGAATGCACACTTATCTGCCAAGTGGCAACTGTAACTTCTTAATTGGAAAAAAAAAATCAAGTTTAAAAAAAATAATAAAATAAATTAGGGAACACAACTTAACCTATGTCTTACAATTACTTTCATACTCCACACAGTTGGTGTAGAAATTAAAATCTGTGATTGTTGATTGGATTACCCAGCTCTGGATAGAAATAGAGCTAATAATTAGTGAAATGAGTAAAATAGTACAAACATTCCTAAACTGTGATGCTAAAGGACTCTCCTGAATAATCTCAGCTGGTCTCAATTTGTAATCATGCCTTTACAAATAGGATGGTTTGCTGTTTGAAGAAAGCTTTGAGTTAAACTTCTGCTAACTGGTCTTTTTTTTTAATTCACTGCATTTTATTTTTATTTTATGCTAATCAAAAAGTAATAAAAATAAATATTTTGCATAAACCTCTGGCTATATTTATTCAATACGGCACTTGTTGGGAATCTAGTTGGTCATCAATTTAAAAAAATATATTGTTCTAAGCATTGTAATGTGATATATAGGTCACATTTTCTCCATAAAGGATTTTGCTGACACTGAAGGTCAACGGCTTTCCTTCTCTTTACCCAGTTTACGCAGTAATCTGTGTGTATTTCAACAGTAAGTGGATACATATCTCTTAATTATCACTCATTTATTGACATGCACCCAGGTTTTACTCCTCTTTCATAATAATAATACAGGTTATGCATGTTACCTATAGGGGGTAAGTAGAACTGAGTTATGAAGACTAAATAAAAATAATAATAAAAAAATAAATAGAATACTCAAAATACATATTTGCTGGTAAAATACAACATTTTGTAATTAAAAGGTATAGTAAATTATACTACATAATGAAAAAGGGATGAGTTTGAAAATGATGTCAAATATATTAAGTACATATCAGCAATCATTTCATCAGTGTGGTTAAACACTGCAAACGTTTATTCACTGCACTGATTTGAGTCCATACTTTGTAGTTAATAATTGGTTTTCTCTGCTGAGTAAAATAAAAAGTAAACAGAGTAAAGGTTGTTTCATGATCAAACTTGAGGACATGGGCTTTATAATTCAGTCCAGTTTGGGGAAAGAGAAACAGCAGCAGTCTGGAAAGGTGAGACATTTATGTGTTCACAAGATAAATCATACAATTATTAACAAATTATATAGGACATTGTTTGATAAATATGTAAAGTTAATCTGTTAGAAGAACAAAGAGTGAAAATGGGGGTGAATTAATTAGGAACATTTTTTTCTTTGTCAGTAAGTTAAACTGTCTTGAGCATTTGATGTATTTCTGTCAATAAAATGTTGTAAAAATGTTTCTGTTAAATTTCTTCAGGTCCCTCAAACAAGACCATGGAAAGGAACATCATATATTTGTGGATTTGTGCTTTTGCAGTAGTTCATGGAAATCAAGAGACTTCACCACAACCTCCCATCAGTGATAAACTCCCATCATTGATAAAGATGATAAACAATGATTTTGCTTTTCACCTGTACAAGAGGCTTGTAGAAATGCCCGAGTATCAGTCCAAGAACATCTTCTTCTCTCCCTTCAGTGTGTCCATGGCCCTTTCTGAGCTGTCTTTAGGAGCCGGAGGCGAAACCAAAGAACAGCTTCTCAGTGGCATCGGCCATAACAGCTCGGTCTTCAGCACTGAAGAAATGCACCAGATGTTCCACAGTCTCCTGGAAGAAATCGACCAGAGGACAGGGGTGGATATCGATGTCGGCAGTGCTCTATATGCAAGCAACAAATTAAAGCTCCTTCCTGAGTTCTTGAAGGAGATAAAGGAGTTTTACCACTCTGACGGCTTCACTGTGGATTTCAACGTCAAAGAAACACTGGATAACATTAACACGTATGTGAAGGAAAAAACACTGGGGAAAATAGACCAAGCTGTTGATGGTCTGGAATCTGACACTTTGATGTTTCTTCTCACTTACATATATTTTAAAGGTAAACTCAGACACCTATACAATAGTCACAGACTTTTGTAATTCTGGCAATGCCATCGTCTCAGATCCCTTTAAAAAAATGTCACTCTTTCTTCCAAAGGAAAATGGGACATGCCATTTAACCCAAGCAGGACCCGTCAAAGTAGATTTCATGTGGACGCTGAGACCACTGTTCCAGTACAAATGATGCACCAGTACGAATCCCTCAAAGTTTATTATGATGTCGAACTCACTTCTAAAGTCCTCTGTCTAGACTACAATGACTCTTTCTCCATGTTTCTGGCTGTACCAGATATTCACTGGCCAGTTAAGACCATCAAAGATCTGGAGATGGCCATCTCTAGACAGCACATTGAAAAGTGGAGGACAGCTGTCAGAAGAAGGTTGGTTGTCATAATTATTTAATGTATATCAAAAATAAAGTTATCCGGACTCATAAAAGCATAGATGTTCAAATGTTTTTAAGTTCAATATCTCCATATGGGCCAGTCAATGATTTCTTTTGTCCTTCAGAAACACTGACATCTATGTCCCCAAGCTCTCTTTGAAAACATCATATTCCCTGAAAGATATTTTGAAAGGAATGGGAATGGCTGATATGTTTACAGATAAAGCCGACTTCACAGGAATTTCAGAGGAAAGGATGCTCATTTCAAAGGTAAAATGTCTAGATCACTTTCTAAATGATGATTTAAAATGAACGTTTTATAGTATATAAAAAGCATTTTTAAAAGGACACGCTTTGATTCACTTTCAGGCTTTGCATAAGGCCAGTCTGGATCTAGATGAGAAAGGAACCACCGCAGCAGCAGTGACAACGGTTGATTTCAGACTATTGTCCTACAGCCCATTGGATACTTTGAGTTTTGACCGTCCATTCATGATCTTTATCACTGACCAAAAAAATGACAACATCCTCTTCTTTGGAAAAGTTGTCAATCCGGCGGAAAAACAATAATGTGACATTCATGATGCCATGACAACATTAG